CCTGCATCTGCCGCAGTATCTCAAGACATTCATGGACAGCGGCTACGACAACATTAACTTTATGGTAGGCTTACATGAAGTTATTGTCCACGTTAGTGTGAAGTTTTTGCCATGGTATATTAACGTTATAACTTTCAAAAAAAGTTAATAGATTGTAAGTTCATCAGCCAATCATTGACGGCCTTTCAAGCAAAATCCACCAATCATAGACAAGAAAATAGAGCGTAAGTACTGACGTTCACTTAGCGAATTTTGAAAGTATGGCCCCAGGGCCACAGATTAGAATATTATAATAACCTAATAAAAACCTAATAACACACAGAATATGTATAATTCGTGCTATGAGGAATAAGTGGTAGCCTCATGAATATGTTTAATTAAGTTACAACGGACATTCGCCGCACTTATCAGTATATCAGTAGGCACGAGCTCTACGACTTAAAGCCGGTAACTAACTGTATTGTTAAATGACGACCGATCTGAATAAAGTTTCTGTCGCTAGTTTTTTATTACGCTGGGTTACAGTTCACGTAGATAAAACGTAATTTTATTTACGCAAGGACAAAGATTTCAAAAGTAAGACGTTTAAAATATGCATAACCAGCGTAAAAGGTAGATTCATGATCATCGTAAAAGGCAGATTCACTGCTTGATAAAACTTCTAAAGCACAGCCACTCAATATAGCGGGAGGGAACAAGATCTCTAGGATACGATCTCTAGGATCGCTCTATCTCTAGGGAAGTAATAAAGTGAAGTGAGCTTGGGTCCAACCTTACATAAGTGCTAGCGGGAGACTTGACCTCTAATTACTACGTAGCTGCTGCTGAAGTAAGGTCGGAGTTCAATGTTACGCAAGTGAGTACGACAGAAGTGGCTGTAAAATTAAACCTCAGATATGTAGGAAAATAAATACACTTGAAATGAATAAATTAATGCGACCAATAGTGGATGATTTCTATCGTTCACCAAGTGTAGATCTTTCAAAGATCATCTTTCATCTTGTGTNGGCTGTTCCACATGTCGGTGACTCGAAGCGAGAAGAAATGTTGTCGCATGGATGTGTTCCAACGCAGTTTTTTTAGTTTATAGCCGTGGCCCCTGGTGTTGTTCTGGGACCTTGTATAAGCCATGAGTGTACTTGTATACTTCAATGAGGTCATCACGCAGTCGATAACAGAGGCTTGGCAGCTTCATAATCTTTAATCTTTCTTCATAGGACTTGCTCTTCAAGCCTGGAATTAGCCTTGTTGCACGTCTTTGAACACTCTCGACTAGATTTTTTTTTCCTTTTCGAATTTCGGTGACCACACTGCGTTTACAAACTTTAGGTTCGGACGCACGACAGCGACAAACAGCAGCTTCATCGCTTCTGCTATTCTTGCAAGGGCAATGGGCTCAAACTGAAATAAACGAATCTGTCCAAATAGTGACAGACTTTTGGCACGTAGCACAAATAAGCCCATTTGCTGTGCCTAGCAGGGTCAAGATGATTCTCTGAACACAAAAAGTGCTTTACTATTTGAACAACGTCTCATTTCTCTTAGTGGACCCTCTCTTCAGTACTGGGCTCATCAAGGATAATGATGAATTAATCTAAGCTACACGCAGCGCCAATTTACTGACTGACCGCATTGTCTTGCCTATTATGTCTATTCGCATTGACTCTCGACACAAGAAAAATCAGCCTCAGCCTAACGCACGCTGAAAGTTATCATGAGCAGATATATACCTACTGTCTAACATGGTTGAACTAGTATAAGGATAACTCATGAGAAGCTCATTTTTGCTGATGTAGTTTGTTGTTCGCCTGTGACGTCACTGATCTCAGTGACGTCACGGGCATTAACCATTCACCAAAATGCGATCAAACCAGTCAACCAATCCGTCATGAGAATGACGGGATTGTTTACGTATCTCAATCTCAGCGACCTAACAAGAAAGCTGAACTGAAAGACGGAAATCCTTGTGGGTCAACCTTGTATAGTTCAACCATTCTGTCTGCTTAGATAAGCGGTGCTGTGGTGTCTTATGAGACATGGCGGCGTCACCAATCCACCTCCTCATGCTATCTTCTGATGCGTGTCTGTAGTCGTCAGAAATCCTGTGAGATTTCGCATTTATATTTGGGCCTTGTATCTTAGCGTCCCATTATTGAGCGCGCGATGTCGGAGTGCGGGTCTCATGCAGATGTGGGTTAAGTTATTATGTAGGTATAGGATTCCATGCATTTATTTTCTGTCTCTCGCGCGGGCGGCTGGGGTCCCGCATAAGCGACGTCTCATTCAAGTGTCTTCTGTTGCTTTTCACCTGTCAATTCATATTCTTTCGTCTCTTAGCGACGCTTTCACTACTCCTTCCACGTCAGCTTCAGCGGATTTGCCACTTGAAACCTTTCGCCTCTTGTGGATGATAAAATATTTTTCTATTTTTGATTTGATATGATATTGTGAAACCTTTCACTACGTTGGGATGTTAATTCTTGACTCCCACAGCGAGTTACCATAATAACTGCAGCGTTACGTAGTTACCTATTTTTGTAACTAGGTATTATCTATATAATTTACGTAGTTCTCACAATCAGTCAAGATCTTGGCTGATAGTCTCATTTACCTCAATCCTAGCTATCGCAATTAAATAAATGAGTCAATAGCTCTTCTTTCTGATCATTGCCAGTAGTTGAACCTCCTTTCTCTGATGACTGAACGCACTGTCGATAGGTTAATAATGAGTGGTTGTTTTTAACGGGCTCAGGAGTTGAACCTCCTTTGTCTGATGACTGAACGCACTGTCGATATGGTAATAATGTGCGGTTTTTATCAACGGGCTCAGGAGCACTCGTGCCCAGCCCACCGTGGACATGGATGTCTCCCCGCCATCAAGCGAGCCTCCCTCGCTGCCTCTGAACCCCGACTCTCTGACCCTCCGCGACCCTTCACACCTGCTCCCGACCTCGACAGGTTCTATCCCTACCGTCCAGACATCCTGGAAGCATCAGCCCAGGGAATTAATCGACTCACAAATAGAATACGAAGTTACGGTGAGAGTCCCCTAACCTTTATCTGTTTACGCTTACCCGTTTCCCGTTTATGTTTTTACCCATTTATGCTTAATCTCCAGGTGGCGATTTTGTTTGTAGACCAGTGCCACTGTCTGCCGAGTATGTCTATTTTAATTCTGCGGGTCATCGATCATGGACTAAACTTTTTAGGACATGAAAGTTCTTTAAAATCAATTTTTGTTAAATCTGTTTTAGGTTGGTTGACTTTAGATGTAAATGTTTATTTGTCGGATTACCTAACGCTACCCTGCAACAATAGAGGAACTACAAGTGGTGCTCGATTGAAAAATAAGTTAAAAAACAATATCTACTGCTAAAAACAATTACAACTTCGATTTAAAATAGTTTATAAATTATATCTCTTGCTTAAAAAATTACAGCTATCAGCTTGCATTGCTGATTGCAATGGTTTAACACAACATTTATGGTTTTGTCAATGGATGAACACAATTTATGCACAACAACGAATATCGATGAATGATAAAATGCGCACTTACGCTCGCGCATGCGAACCGGAGGCATTTTTTGTTGGGCAATGGGCATGCCTTAGTTTGAACGTCCTGGAGGCTTCTGTCCAGGGCCACTCGCTTGGGATCTGAAGTGCAGTCCTATGGCAGTTTCCAGGCTCTGTAGAATTGACCAATCCGAATTATGTCACACTCTCAGTCAAATATAAAGTCTGAAAGTTATCCAGATTATAATTCATTAAATTCCTACGTACATTTGAATTTATATGCAAGCGTCGTACTAATATACTAGTGACTATATACTTAGTACTACTAGTGACTAATATATTTGGTAATTAGCCTACCAAGCTGGTAACCTAACCCGTGGCCATGTCCACCTCTGCAGTACCTGAACAGCACGCGCATCCAGGAGCTGCATGGCACCGAGTCCACGATGCAGTCCATCCACAAAGTCCGCAAGCTCATGGAGGCTCAGGAGCGCGAGGCGGCCGCTGATGGCACCAAGCCTAGCTTGCCTGTGGACGTGGTGCTGGCCATCTCTGCTGATGGTGTCCGCTTCATGACCATTGGTGACAGGGTGAGTTGACGTGGGCATGACGTGTGACAGGATGAGTTGACGTGGTGCTGGCCATCTCTGCTGATAGCGTCCGCTTCATGAGCATTGGTGACAGGGTGAGTTGACGTGGCGTGATGTGTGACAGGGTGAGTTGACGAGGCCTGACATGTGATCCGACCCGCCCTGACCTGACCCATATGTGCCCCGACCTGTCGTGACCTGACCCCACATGTGACCCAACCTGTCGTGACCTGACCCCACATGTGACCCGACCTGTCGTGACCTGACCCACATGTGACCCAACCTGTAACCTGTCGTGACCTGACCCCACATGTGACCCGACCTGTCGTGACCTGGCCCCACATGTGACCCGACCTGTCGTGACCTGACCTCACATGTGATCCGACCTGTCGTGACCTGACCCCACATGTGACCCGACCTGTCGTGACCTGACCCCACATGTGACCCAACCTGTCGTGACCTGATGGCCTGATGTGGCTTAGAAATATGCTTAATGTTTCTGCTGGAAGGAATGCGATGTGTTTGGATAGTAAAAAATAAATTTCTATTGTCTATGGGTTTTCAAATTGGTTGATTAGTTTGTTGGATCATAAATTACTTAATTTATTCATTGATTGATTTTTAAATTGGTTAATCGGCTCTCGTAACCTATGTTGATCTTAAATTTCACGTTCTTTGTTTCTGTAGTTCAGGTATATTTTATTTCAATGGTTCTGTCTCAATATTCGATGTCTTCATACAATCTTTTTATGCTTCTAAGTAAATTAGGTATAACCGTGGAGACTTCCATCTAATAATGTTTCATCATTGCTTGGTTATTTTGTTTCGCGGTAACTCATCAATACCAGGCATTCAAAATTTGCCCAGCGTTACATTTTCAATTTAAAGATGTAATTATTCACGACATCATTATCCCGTATTGCCTCAACAATCATTGTAGTACATCGCTATTCAATGCCACACCAATACCCAGTGTCATACACTACAACAGCCTCGCCTAGTCACTTACTTGCCCCATGCCCAGGACCACATTTGCGACCACAATAGCCACAGTAAGAGCCCACACTGTATGCCTAATGTCAGGACCACATTTGCGACCACAATTAGCGCGCCACAACAGCTTCACTAAGCCACTGTGGTCCATGCCCAGGACCACATTTGCGACCACAATTAGCGCGCCACAACAGCCGCACTAAGCCACTGTGGTCCGCCCCCAGGACCACATTTGCGACCACGAGATCCGCACCATCGAGGGCGTGTGTCAGGACGCTGACGACCTCAGCCACTTCGCCTACATCACCGGCGACCGCCACGACCACAGCAAGCTGTGCCACGTCTTCAGGGTGCCTTCCAGGGTACGTTGTTCAGGGTACCTTCCAGGGTACGTTGTTCAGGGTACCTTCCAGGGTACGTGTTTAGAGTGCCTCACGTGCCTGGTATGTCTTGAGAGTACCTTGCGGGGTACGTGACGTGTTTATGTGACACACACGTACCCGGTACGGTGTACCATAACGAACCTGGTACTCTTGATAAAACGCATCTTCATTGCCTGCTACGCACCGTCGTCTGCTGTGTACTTATTCATGCGCATGGTTCACTCTTTAAATTTGTTTTAGTTGCATTATTATATCACACGACTTACTTCCTCTTAAATTTGTTTATGCAGCCATTCTCTTTTCATGAAAATCATATAATAAATAATTGGATAAATTTCATTATATATTTCCATACCTATTTTTTATTTTTTCATTATATAGAATATTTCCTGATCATTCTTCTAGGAGATGGCCACAGAGATCATCTTGACGCTCGGCAACGCTTTCGAAGTCGCTTTCCAACTGTCTCAGCTGCAGCAGCAGCCACAGCAGCAGCAGACGCTGCCACAGCAACTTCCAGGGTACGTGTTCGGGATAACTTCCAGGGTACGTGTTCAGGGTGCCTCACGTGCCTGGTATGTCTTGAGGGTACGTTGCGGCGGGGTACGTGACGTGTTGAGGTAACACACACGTGCACGGTGTACCAAACCAACCTGACGCGCTTGATAAAATTCATTCAATCGCACCGTCTGATATGTACTTGACATGTATTCATGCGCATGTTTCTCTCCGTATTTTTTTATATTTGCAATATCATAGAACCTAGACCTTCTTCCTTCTCAATTTGTCCATGCAGCCATTCTATATAAATAATTGGATAAATTTCATTCTAATATAGAATATTTCCTGACCATTCTTCTAGGAGATGGCTACTGAAATCATCTTGACGCTCGGCAACGCTTTCGAAGTCGCCTTCCAGCTGTCTCAGCTGCAGCAGCCACAGCACCAGCAGCCACAGCACCAGCAACCACAGCAGCAGCAACCACAGCAGCAGCCCACCACCTTAACCCACCGGTCCCCCAGCCACACCCGCACCCGCTCCGACACCCACCCACGACCTGCCCTATCTCTGGCACCCACCACCGCCGTCCCACCCCGCACCCACAACAGGTCCGTGACTATTATATATATTGAGTATGTATATATGTATGATAATATCTATATATACATACATATTATTCTTATAATATATATTGAGTGGTCGAGACATATATAGCAGGTTAACCAGGGCGCGATAATCTATTCAATTTTGGAATACTAAATTCCATTAATCTTTTTATCTTTCATCCAGTTGATAATAATAAAACTTATTATGATAATTAAAGCGAATAATAAAGCTTATTATAATAATTGAAGCGCGTGTACTCTGAGCTGTCAGCCCAGCACCAGACGGAGCTGACTAAAGCCATATTAATGCGGTAGAGCATGCCAGGACACATAAAATCTGCTTCATTTCTAGGCACCATATCTCTTAACTTAACAACGTCTTAAAACCCACATTTAAATTTAACATAGAACCCCATTACACTCTCAAAAAATCATCTAGCATAGTTTAAATTAAAAGTATGTATTCCTATTGCCAAATCAAATTTCGATATTTTCTTCAATCCTTTCCTATTCTCCCACTAAAAATAAAATTTCGGGTCCAGGTAATATCCCGACACGATAATTGTCCTGGCTAAGCATTGCAGTAGCCCCTATATGTTTATGGTGCCAAGCTTCAATTACACAAACTTTGACAAAAAATAAGAATTAATATTGTCTTTTTATTTGCGATCAGCACATTATAGCAATTAACAGCTTCCGTAGTTCCGTTCGCAGCGTTTTTATAATCTTAAATTTTTAGCATCAGTTCTCAGATAAAAATTTAAAAACTTAGAAGTTACGGATCCTTCGTTCGAAATTATTTAATTCATTATTTTATGCACTTAATACGCTTTATATAACAGAAACCGTCTATTTGCAAGCAGGGTTGGCAATGATTAAATCAAAATGATTAAATCCTGTGATTAAATCACTTGATTTTTTATAAAAAAAATGATGATTTTTTTTATTTTTTTCGATTTTTTCATATATTTAAATATATTGAGTGGCAGTCTTTAATTTATGTTGAGGTATTGTTATTCATGGTTTAGTATAAATGTACTATGAATGACAAATTGGTATATAAACTTGTTGCCTTTAGTGTGTATTAGGTTCCAATAAATTGAATGTTTTTGGTACAGAGGCATCAAGTGTGCAATACATTGTACGTATCTCTTATACACATCTAGATGTGTATAAGAGACAGGGTTACGGTAGGGCTTTTGTAGTAGATTATCAGCTGTAATCGGTGGTTGTCGTTTGTGCATTCCACGTTGTTTCGAATCATCTGCTTGAGGATTCGTTCATCAGTTTTGTATGCAGATGAATATTGGTTCTGATAGTAGACATTATGGACTTGATACTCGGGGTTTCTTGCATCGCTCGTTGGGTTTCCTGTTTTTTGGGTGATTGTTGCGAGGTAGTGGCTCAGAATATTGTCAAAGAGTATTGTTAACCAAACATGTTTAAATGAAGGGCTCTTCCCTAAATATACAAATTTCAGATTAAATATAATAATAAACATTAAAGACCATGTCTCATGACGAGGATTGGTTATCCTTGAGCAGGAAGGACAGCGACCCCTCGGTCCCCCAGACCCACGGGTGCAGGGGGCCTAAGCCCCCCATAGCTGCCCGCCGCCCCCACCCCCCCAACCTGACATCAGAGCTGTCAGCACAGCATCAGACAGAGCTGACTAAAGCTATACAAATGCGACAGAACAGACACGCTAAAGATACATAACATCAGCTCCATTTCTAGGCATCTTATCTCTTAACTTTTGCTTACATTATCCCTTGTATGGTATACAGATTATACAAAACATTCATTCGTTGGGTAGGGTTGCAAATAATGTTATATGCTAAAGAAACATAACATCAGCTTCATTTCTAGGCACCTTATATCTTAATTTTTGCTTGCCTAAAGCATTATCTTTTGTGTGGTATACAGATTATACAATACATTCATTGTGTAGGATACCAAATAATGGTATATGCCAGAGCAACATAACATCAGCTCCATTTCTAGGCACCTTATCTCTAAACTTTTGCTTGTATTATATCTTGTATGGTATACAGATTATTATACGGTACAATACATTCATTGAGCACCAAATAATGTTATATGCCAAAGACACATAACATCAGCTCAATTTCTAGGCACCTTATCTCTTAACTTTTGCTCGCCTAAAGCATTATCCCTTGTATGGTATACAGATTATACAATACATTCATTGTGTAGGATACCAAATAATGGTATATGCCAGAGCAACATAACATCAGCTCCATTTCTAGGCACCTTATCTCTTAATTTTTGCTTACCTAAAGCATTATCTTTTGTGTGGTATACAGATTATACAATACATTCATTGAGTACCAAATAATGTTATACATCTGCTTCGTTGGTGTACAGAGCATTCATTCACGAATACATGCGTACACAGTGCGAAGTGATGGTATACATTTCCTCAGTGGTGGACATTCCTATATACAGTATTAAAAGATAAAAATAATCTAAGAAGAATAAGTAAATATGACGAAGATTGAAATTATCCTCAAAAATCGCATTTGATTTGACTCATTAGAGTGTGAGTCGAGGAATCTACGGTCAACCGTTTTTATTCGTTTTAATTTGGTTAACTTTTGTTCCAAATTAGCTACGAAAATGTTGGAAATTTTGCAAAAAATTCCTCGAACATTAAAAGTTATTAATCTCTCCGTGGCCCGACTTCATAGTATGGATTTGGTACGAAAACCTGCGTGTGTCCCTAACTATCAATACGTCTGGCATAAAAAAATAAAATGCACTTAGGCTCACATGCTCAAAAATTTATCCAGTCTACGTTGCCGATATAGTCATTGTTTCGACAGTATATATAATTGTATAAACGTGTTAGCGACAAGCTACGAGATATACGATCTTCTCATTGATACCCACAACAGAACTTGATCCAAAATAGTTTTCACGAGTGCAGGCAATCAGTGACAGGTTTTCAAGACGTGACAGGTTTTCACCAATCAGTGACAGGTTTTCACCAATCACAGACGAGAACTCGGCCGCTACGTGTAGTTAGGCCGATATCAGTTCACGACATTTCATTTATGCTTCTGAATTCTGATATTCACTGGCTAGTGGTATTTTGTGTTGTCAAATTCATTTCGGGTCAAAGTTAGAAAGATTACAACTTTCGCTCGTCTGTGCACGATCACTATTCCCCTATTTATGGACATTGACGTTCAGATTTGTTTTACTTATCTTAGCTAATTTCCACGTTTATAAAAAACATTTAAAAACATTTTGTTTGGTGTCCCTAGGGTGTCGTGTATTATGTAGGCGTGTGTTCCTTATTTCTGAAGGTGCTATGTACACTCCCTGGTCCAAGCCTCACGGGCGTATGATAAATACGCTTGCCTCCCATCACCTACCAAATGAATATCATCAATGAAATGACAATATTGAACGCACATGCGATGTGTAATAAAGTTATGTTCAATATATAACTTCATGTGTCTGCGTCAGAGCACGGATGTGTTGATGTGCTATGTGTTACGATCAAATACGTACCATAATAATAAGAGGTGTGATATTTCACTATTGTTTTGTTAAGTGATGTATATAACACTGATGCTTATCATAGTGTTCAAGCTGGTCTTCATGTTGCGTTCGTTGATTGTTCAAGCATTATCGCTTCGTCAGGTTCAACGGTATAAGAAATGATGGACAAACTGATGAAAAGTAAGCTTCGATTGTCGCAGTATTTACTAAATTTTAGGATTTTTTATTTAAGAAAAATATTGTCATTGAGGAAGGATATTTTGCAGCAAACGTTGCGTACTGCATTATTTTTATGAATTATTTATATCTGCTAGTTTCTGTTGTGTATTTGTAGCCGTTGTGGATGCGGTCTAGATTTTTCGTAATGTAATCTCTGATCTAATTTATGAATTAGAATTATTTCCTAATTTACCTTATAGAAGAAAAAAGTCATAATTTCTCGTTGAAAAGAAAACGGATTATAGTGATTCCCCATTAAAAAAACACGAAATTTAGTAATTTTACATTAAAGAAAAAAAAGTGTCTAGCTGAATAAAAATGTTTGATTGAGCTGTCGCTCGTCGTGCCAGTTGGGTGGAGGTATCAGTTCGTTCATTGTTGGGGTTGAAGGTCTACTGGCTGATATTTATTATTATTTAGTGTGTAAATTTGATAATCACTTGAGTTTAATCTAATAATTTAGCTCTCGTTCATTCGACCGTCCTCTAACTATTGATTCCATCGAACAACATCGAAGTAGATGCGGCCGTATTAAAAACGTCGCTTCATTTAATGCATTCAGAGATTGAAAAATATTTTAGTTAGTTCAATTTTTACAAGTAAAGGTCCAGCAATGTGCAGTATACAAAATGTATGTGTTACAATATCTTGCTACATTCCACCACAACATATTCGGCCAATACCAGCATAAACTGACACGGTTTCATCGCGTTGCAGTTGTCCAAATGTGAGTACAATATGTCTCCAGAAATGAATGACTATGAGGTGTCTATTCATGGTATTATATTTCTCATGGTACATAGTCTAGTTAATCATTGTACAACAAATTTAGGTTTTAAATTACATTTTTTTCTCGGCTAAACTCTCGAATATCTTCGTGTGGAGCACTCTAGCCTGCTTGGCCTTAACCTTCATCTGTAGGTTGAAACAAACCTTTTACGAGGATCCTTGTATGGTTATTTTCAAATGAAAGTTCCAGTCATTCGTGATCCAATTGACTTGAAGATTATTCGGACTCTCTCAAGTGCAATTCGATAGTTCTCTATTTAATACATATCATTTTTATTTCCTTTTTAATATTCGACTCTTCACTTCAATATTTGCACTTTTGTGAACGCTTTCTTTCGTAAAATACTCTAATATATTTTAATTCTTATTTCTATTCTATCAGACACAGCGTTTATATAATAATTTTTTATGTATCTGATATTATTTTATAAGCCGATAACTTCTGGGTCGTGCTCTATTGAAAATTATAGCTGGTTTTTAGGTGGCCACCTTCGGCTGGCAATGATGCGGCAATGAAGGGTGACGGGACCGAAAAAATACATTCCTTTTTATATTGTTTTATGCTCTAGGTAAAAAAATATTGTCTAAGTATTTGTAAACTATTTATTAGTTGCGCGTTAAACTTTATTTCAAATTGTGAATTTCAATAAACATTGGCATTGAAAAAGGCATTTCATCGATGCATAAGAAATGTCTTTTATATTTATATATGTTATACTAGGTATCGTTTTAAACATGTTGCTGTTAATTTACTTTGAGAATGTCATTTTAATATGTTAGAAATATATAGACCATTTCTATTCTCTTTAATGTAAGTAATTTACATTTCTTTAATTGTTTATTAATGAAAGCTCCGTTCCAACCCATATTTAGCACGGAATCCGCATTTACTATTCGTTTAAAATATTAATAAAAGTTTATTTTTTGTGGTAGTTAAAAAATTAGGACATTAATACTATCCTCGTGGATATTATTAATGATATGAGATCAATAATTCGGTTTGGATTAGTTTTATAAATTTTTGTTTACTTATTATTATTGTTTCTGTTAAACTCTAGGCATTCTTAATCCATATGTCCTCATTGCAACTCCTATCGCAGGAGTCACGCTACATCGTCAGCCCTGTACATTGTACAGCTCATGTACTGTGTACAAAACTGTACATCAGTAACTTTTATTAGAGTGCTTTCAATAAAAGATTCCATTTTTTGTCTCCATTGAAAATGAATTGCAGTTGTATACTTCAAACACAATGGATCCCATAGCTTGTCACTCACGTTACACAGTAAAACATGTCGCTACATGCATGCATGCTCGTCTTCCGATGTGTGTTATCAGCTTTTAAATATTTTGTTTACATATTTTTGTATACGTTTAAATATTTTGTATTGTTTGGCAGAAGTGGTTCCTTGATACGTCGTAGATTGGAAACCGGAGAATAGATTTTATTAACTATTTTCTTGTTCAATTTTTGAACAAGATGTCACAACATGGAATAAATGGTAACGCTTACCTCCCTTGACCTCGCGTGGTCACAAATGGTAACGCTTACCTCCCTTGACCTCGCGTGTCACAAATGGTAACGCTTACCTCCCTTGACCTCGCGTGGTCACAAATGGTAACGCTTACCTCACTTGACCTCATCAGTGAAGTGTGATCACATTCTCGTAAAAGTAACATTGCTTGTGTTCCTTTTGCATGCAATCCGTCATATGTGAACCGTGTGGAGTTTGTTTTGTAATTTTTAGATTACTTGCTTCGTTTCCGTGGCCTTCTCAAGATTTTTGAGTTTTGATCGATATTTTTTAATATTTTGTTTTATTTGCGCGTTACATCAAGCTTGTTCATTACCAAACCACACTAAAATCCATTCCGATCAAGCACTTTCCGTAATTAAATTGAGGAAAATGCAGAAATTATCCTAGCTGAATTGGTACGAAGTTTTGGGTTGGTTTTCGGCTACAGACTTGGATTGAAATTCGTGCTACATAACTTACTGTAGAACATCATTTACTTGTACTGCATCATTTCCTTTTATTGCATCATTTAATTCTATTGCATCATTCCTAAATGTTACATACCGTTCGTCAGTTGTGGAGGGAAAATT